GGGTTCCAGTGGTTACAGTTAGGTACTTTCTTCTTTCAGTAACATTCCTGCAACTAAAAATTACTACATTGCCATTGATGATCAAATAACATTAATTGTTAGGCACAAGTGGGCTGTGAAACTACCTTTTCAAAATGCCACTGTTAGAGATGAAACTCATCTGGCCAAGTAAGAAAGCCAGTCTGACCAATATGTGCCTGATTTTCTAGGTCCTCTGGTGTTTTATATCTTAACTGCAGTGTAGGAAGCAAACTATATTCAGTCAGATGCTGCCTATATTTTGACAACAGCCTTCCACCCCAAATCCTTCTTCAGTTAACTCCTTTCAAATGTCAAATTTCTGTTTATTAATTTGGGGAAGAGGTTGACTGAGAAGCTAGGGTTCTATTAATCTTGTTTAACCAATAATTTTTCTCACAATTACATTTAATAAATACAATGTAAACTGTCAGTTCTTGGAAAAAACTGTATTTCAGTCATACATTAGTAGTATAGACTAATACTTCATTTTGATAACTTGAAGTGGTGGCAGTGAAAAATTTGGAAATTGAAACAGCAATACCCATAAGAAACACATAATTCAGGTGACTTGGTGCTACAGATTTATTTTGAAAATATGAAATTATTCTTTGATGCTATCTGCAGTGACCTTTCCGTCGCAGTAGATAATTATTACTTGTACTAGGTTTGGATAAGTAGATTCCAAAGAGAAAGAAAATCCACAATAGAAGGGAAACGAAAGGAGGCTTCCTCCTGTTTGGTACGGAGTTGTAATGACATATGCCAAAACTCTCTTCAAGTTTTCAGGGGAACTCTGAAATTTATAAATGGCATATAGGCATGTAATTACCCCATCTCCACATACAGAGTGGGATTCATTTCACTGACATCTGTGACAACAGACCTGGGCTCCCCTTACAGTCAAGTGAGACATTTCTGGGGCAGGATCTGTTCATACTAAGATTCTTTCCCATTTGACAGATTGGGCTGGATGACCTCCTGTCATGCTTTCAACCTTGGCAGGCAGCTAAATACCATGCAGCCACTCACTCACTCTCCCCCTGCCCCCCAGGGGACGGGGGACAGAATTGGAAAGGTAGAGAGACTTGTAGGTGAGATGAAAAACAATTTAATAATCTAATTTAATAATAACAGCAATAACAAGAAGAAGTGATGCATAGTGCAACTGCTCGCCACTCACTGACCAATGCCCAGCCCATTGCTGAGTAGTGATCATGGAGGAGAGAAATGAAGAAAACTGCAATTTGGAAGAGAGAGAGAGCTTCCTGGCCAGCCCTCATCTATATGCTGAGCATGATGTTGCATGACAGAATATTGCATTGGCCAGTTTGGATCAGTTGCTCTCGCTAAGCTCTATCCCAGCTCCTTGTGCACCTGGACACTAGCAAAGCATGGAAAGTTGAAAAGTCCTTGATTTCTTAGCAACAACTAAAGCCATCAGGGTTCTATCAACACTCTTCTCATATCAAATCCCATAGTGACTAATGGTATTCGAGCTGCAAAGAAGAAAATTAGCTCTACCCCAGCCAAAACCAGAACACTCCCACCTTTATTCCTGAGATGGAAAGGAAAATTAACATTGACACACCGAGAGGATTAAAAATGTCTTTAAACCATCAGATACAGAAACTTCCTGCAGGTGCACTGCCTGCCCTCATTTCACAATCTTGATTACAAAGGTGCAATTGTGTATGCTTGTTCATCAAAGGAGGAAGAAGCAAGAATGTGTTTTTCCGATGACCTGTGCTGAGTAGCAGAATGACAGGCACGCAGGATGCATGTTGGTGTGTAGCTCACGTAAGAGCACACAAAACCCCCTTTGTTTAGTGAGGGCAAAAGGGGCTCAGTTCTTTTTCATTAAAGTCACCTGGATTATTCCATGTACTTGAATGGAAGAAGATCAAGCTTTAGGGCTCAAGTTAAGGCAATTAATATGGTTGCCACATATTTGCACAAGATTGACTTGTTACTATGCCTTACCTGGCATCCAAACATCGTCTGCACACCTCCTGAGTTCTTTGGCATGGTGATTGGCTCAGGAGCCAGAAAGCAAATCCACTGATCACTTATGCTTTAAACCAGTAGGTGAGGGAAAACTCACTGTCTGAAAGCTGTTGCCTAGAGAGGAATACAGGGATGTATTACTTCAGCCAAAAGTGGTCAAATCCGTTTAAATGACAGGGGATAATCCAGATGTTGCCCCTCAGATGATTAGCAGTGTCCCTTTCCTCTAAGGAGCTGTTTCCATGCCAGCCACCACACTCCATAGCAGCTGTGAGAAGATGGTGTTGTCCAGCTCCTGCTGACTTCCAGATGACATTCTAAACAGAGCTGATACTCTCAAAAAGAAGCAGTGTGGCTCTGTTCAAAACTGACAATACACCAGTATGCTCTGATGGAAGCAGTGAGGTTATGTAAAAGTGATTTCCTTAGTATCTCCCATCTTGGGCATATGAACATCTCAGAACACTTCTGTATACAGCCAAGGGATTAGAGTATGGAATCTGAATGGGAAGAACTGAAAAAATAGCTTTAAAAGTTATAACAAAAGAAAGTACAAAGTAAATGTAATACGCACGTTTTACTCCATTTTTCACTCTGCTCATGGTGAGATAAAAAGAACCCATCAGTTTGAAGAAAAAAAATGAGCTGGATGTTGCAGCTGCTTCTTCCCCATGTTAATACAAGTCAACTAACCACTAATTTGGGCTCAGGAAGAGATTTTCTTTTAGAGCATGTTGGCAGAAAACTTGGAATTTCTCCAGTTTTTAAACAGATGTTTGACTAGATTAGGAAGAACATACATCTAATCAATGCAGGATGTTTGTTACTTGGTGCTACAGTGCTCTTTGATACAGTTGAGGATGAGGCTAGCTGGGAAAAAAACCCCAGCATGCTAGTTTTTTTGCAGGTAACATACTAGTTTAGTTTATCACTTTATTGAAACTATCTTATGTTATCCCATGTCTTATTTTCAGGTGTCCTACACTTTGTGTAAGTGAAAGAGAAAATAACAATGGTTGTTTCCATATTATTTCTGTTCCACCAGATAAATCAAGCCTAATATTAAAGAAAAATCAAAAGTTATTACCTTTTTTGGGTGATCTGATGTTAGAAAAGTTTTCAAGAATAGCTTACCCATACAAATACAGTATATATCTCTAGCTCTGGCAAGGATCGCCTCTTCCTGGAATATTGTCTATATGAAAGTCAGCTAAGGCCTTTCTGTACAACCTTTCTGTGGCCTATAGCTCTCTTCTGCTGACTTTCTAAAAAGCCCCTCTGGCTTGTACTCATTCTTTCTTTTCTTTGCATTTTTTTTCTTGGTATCTTGGAGAATTATTCATCATCTTCATCCCATGGAAACCACGGAAGCATACCTGCCAAGAACTGTGTCATAAAAAAATCAGTTCTGTTTCTTAACAGAAGCACCCTCTTATCATCCTTTGAGTATTTCCACTAAATGCTAAGTAGGTCTTTCACAATTACAGCCTCTTATGGACTTGTCCTCATCAATAATGCTGCTTTTCATTATTTTTTCCACAGGTTGAGACTCTTCCTGGGCTATCAATGGAAAGCTGAAAAAAATATAACTAACTTATGTATTATTAGTTGAAACAGGACAGGAATCAGCTATGATCTGAGGATACAAAATCAGGATTAAGAAGTATGACAGCCAAAACTCCAAATGGGGAAAATAAGATTTAGATTAAATGTTTGGAAATATTTTATCATAGTAAAATCTTCAATGTAAGGAAATAATCTTTCACAAAAAGGGAAATATTATGATTGGGACTTTTAAGAATGATACTAAGAAACAATAAATTAACAAAACTGTTGGGATCTATTCTCCATGAAAAGTGGGAGTAGTTTAGGGACGTATTAATAAATTTAAATAAATTTAATATAGGAATTTTGAGTATTATTTAATTCTCGAGGACAACCACTGAGGTGAGTTTTATGTGCTACATCCTAATAACACATCCCTGATACCACTGTGAATGTCAACTTCAGTGTGACAATTCTCCAGTTGTGGAGATGTACAGTCATTCTGCATGTAAATCTCTACAAACAGCAGGGTTTTGCTCTACCATGCCTCCTCTTGCCTCCAGATCAGTCTCAATTCACAGCCATCAAAATAAGAGACATAGTTGGGTGGCAGAGGCTATCAACCCTCAAATCTGACTCCAATATATCAAAATTCTCCAGTGCTTGCTCCTGCCATTTTAGGTGTGATCAAACCAGAGAACTCATGCTGCTATTCTTGCTTTCCTCCTCCCTGAGGCTTCAAACATGCATCAAGCTAAAGCTTCTTTTTCCTAGGGAAATCTGGTTTAATGTCGCTGCATTCTTAAGACTACTCAACATTTAATTCTTTCCTTTTTTTTGTGCTTGAAAGCAACAGACAATACTTAAAGTCAGGAAACATTAACTGATCTCTGCTGTACCTTAGATACTGCTTCCCCCATAGTGACAAACATGAAGCTTTTAGCACAGAAACCACCTGTAACAAGTGCTGAAAAGTATTCCAAAAAGACTTTTCTGGCTGTTTCTTCACAGGGCATATGTAGTTTCTTGTTAAAAAAAAAAAAAAAAAAAAAAAAGTGATGCCAAAATGTTATTTTAAACTTAACATTTAATTGCATTAACATTTAATTTTAAATAATGATCAAGTTAATGAAAAAATGTGCTTTATTTTTCTGCTCTGTAGGGGAAATCTCTATTTCTCAGCTTTATTTGTTCATGGGATAGCAGAACGATACAGCCATTTAAACTTCCTATAAGCAGAAACACAATCCCTCAAAACAGCCAACATCTAAAGAATATTTTATCACTTATATTAATCCAGTTCCTTTTGCCCTGGTATACAGGTAGTGCTTTTTTGCCTGTATAGTAAGTGTTGTTTATTGATATTATATGAAAGAATTCAACTGATGAGGCTTCAGTTGCTCATAAGTGACAGCAATGAACACTACACGATGAAGTTTACTGCCAGTGGAAGTAAAGGTAACTAGGTTATTTTCACTTTCTAAATCTATTTGTGCAAAAATTATATAAGTAGCATAAAATTATCTGAGGCTTAGCTTTGATAATCTGAGCTGTCACAATATGCAAAATAGAAGCAGCTGTTTTTACTGTCGCTAGGGATTTTAAGACGAGGTTCTCTTAAGGACATGAACACACTGAGTTGCAGACTTCTTGGTTTTTTGGCCAGTGACATCCACGTAATAAAGAATGTTTTGAAAGTACTGGAAGTACTTCCTACAACTTTGTTTCCCTTCATTTTTATGAACTTGCCAACACATTGTTGACGTGAGCAAGGCCACCTGTCTACAGATACAATTACTTAACATCTTAGATGTGGATGTATGAAAATCACTGTCATGTAGGATACTGGCTTTGCAGCTGCAAGAGTTGAAAGTTAAGAATGTGTTTAAATATTTTCATGAACTGAGGTCTTAAGAAAATAGTACTTGCAGACTGCCATCATGTGAGATGCTGATCTGCAGGCTGGTCAAAGTCAGCAAGGTTCAACACACCAATTTTGCTGCAGGACTAGACATGGAGGCTTTTGGCACAGATCATGTATTCACAGAATAGTATTAAAAAAGGCAGGCTGGAATAGATCCTCTGGATGCCATCAAAGCAGAGCAAGCTTCACACAGATCAGATTGTGTCAGGTCTCATGCAGTTAGGCTCTGAAAATGATGCATATACATTTTATTGCATTCAAATGTGAGTTTGATGGGTGGACTGCTCAGTGGATAAGGAACTGGCTAGATGGTCGTGTCCAGAGGATAGTGGTCAATGGCTCTAAGTCCAGATGGAAAACAGTGACAAGTGGTGCCCCTCAGGGGTCAGTTCTGAGCCTAGTGTTGTACAACATCTTCATTAACGATATTGACGGTGGCACTGAGAGCACCCTCGGCAAGTTTGCTGATGACACCAAGCTGGGTGGAGAGGTCGATATGCCAGAGGGATGGGATGCCATCCAGAGGGACCTGGACAAGCTAGAGAAGTGGGCCCAGGTAAACCTCATGAGGTTCAACAAGGCCAAGTACAGGGTCCTGCACCTGGGCCGAGGTAACCCAAGACAAGAATACAAGGTGGGGGAGGTCACACTAGAGAGCAGCCCTGTAGAAATGGACCTGGGGGTACTAGTGGATCAAAACCTGGACACGAGCCACCAATGTGCAGTTGCAGCCCAGAAGGCCAACTCCATCCTGGGCTGCATCAGAAGTGTGGCCAGCAGATCAAGAGAGCTGATTCTGCCCCTCTACTCTGCCCTGGTAAGACCTCACCTAGATACTGTGTCCAGCTCTGGTGCCCCCAGCATAAGAAAGATGTGGATCTGTTGGAACATGTCAAGAAGGGCTACAAAAATGATCCGAGGGCTGAAGCACCTCTCATATGAGGGCAGGCTGAGGGAGCTGGGGTTGTTCAGCCTGAAGAGAAGGCTCTGGGAGGACCTAACAGTGGCCTTACAGTACCTGAATGGGGCCTGCAGGAAAGATGGGGAGGGTCTTTCTACAGGGGCTTGCAGTGAGAGGACAAGGGGTAGTGGTTTTAAGCTGAAAGACAGAGAGATTTAGGGTAGAGATCAGGCATAAATTCTTCAGTGTAAGGGTGGTGAGACACTGGAACAGGCTGCCCAGAGATGCTGTGGGAGCTCCACCCCTGGAGGTGCTCAAGGGCAGGCTGGATGGGGCTCTGAGCAGCCTGTTCCAGTGGGAGGTGTCCCTGCCCGTGCAGGGGAGTTGGAACTCGATGATCTTTAAGGTCCCTTCCAACTCAAAATTCTACGATTCTGTATAAAACTTACTTGCACTCCCATGAAACAGAAAGCCTCCGAGAAGCTGTGATTCTGGAGATTTAGGGCTATCCGTGCTGACAGGTTACTTTGTATGCCATGATATGATAGGAAAATGAACGGACAGTGCGAGCAGGACAGTTTCAGCACCGAATGCAAAACTCCTGCACTATTCTGCTTGCTCAAACAGCTTTTGTACGACCTCCGGAAAACGTGGGAAGGTTCAGGATTACGACCGAAAACACGGCGCGGGGTTTCACAGGGCGCAAGAGCAGCAAGACACGGCAGCCGCAGCGTGTCCTCGGGATCAGCTCCTCAGCTTCCCCGGGGACAGGGGCCGCTTCGGGCGGTGCAGATGAACACGGCGGGACGGGACGGGCCGAACGAAGCCGGGCGCCCAGCAGCGCTCAGGAACACCCCCCGGAGAGCAGGGCGGGCACGCCCGGGGGACACGCGTGGATCTCCTCTTCCCTGAGGCACCCGCGGTCCTCGGGACGAGGGGGCAGTGCCCGCTCCCCCCCGCCAACAA